AGTCCTTGTTCATCACTGACACTTCTTGATCATTTCCTCTTTCTCCTTCTTAAACATAACCAGTTCTCAATCTTTTCATCAATTTCTACCAACTACTATTTTACCATGTGGTAATTATCTACTTATTTTCAAGTCAATTCCCTTCACTCCTTGAAGATTTTATTTCTAGATCATGAACTCTATTCCTAATACTATTATCATCATTCCTGATGAGTAAAAAGAGTATTGATATATTCTGCCCTCTCTCTTTTTTCTATAGATGAAATATCCCTATCATAAAATAGGCCAACCTTCCATTTGTAAATTAGGTCCCCGTATCTCTCAAAGACATCTTGCTAACTCTTCCTATGCATTACCAATCTTTCTGTTTCTCTTGGATCTTTTTCATCAGCATTAAAACATGCTGTTAATTTTCCTAATCTTAAATGTCCCTCTACTCACTTCAGTTCTCCTTCCAGTTACCACAGTCTTTCTCTAACAATGAAGTCACACTTTTAAAAGATTAAGCATCTAACTTATAAAATTAGAAAAATAAGAAAAGAAAAATCTGAACAAGTATAGGGGGAAGAAATTGTGACTATAAAACCATAAAATAACACATTTGAAAACCAAGACACAGTTGAGAGAAACAAAAAAAGCCAAATATTGGTTCTTTCAGAATATCAGTATAACTGATGGCAAGATTGATCAAGAAAAAAAGGAAGTTAAAAACAGCTATAGTCGCAATGAAAAGGAACCATAGTGACAGTTGCTGCAGATAATTAATAAAAGAATATTGAAAAAATGAAATGACAATAAATTTAATCAAATGTAAAAAAATCAGGGAAAAGGTAGAGCTAAATATAACTGGAGAGGAAATAGAAAACTTGAATAGCCCTATAACTATTAAAAAATGTTAATATGTATTTTTAAATCTTCACATGAAAAAAGCCACCAGACCTAGATAATGGCAACAGGTGAAATTCTATAAAACACTCTAGGAAAAGGTAATTCAAATCCTATCTAATAATAGAGAAACATGGTAATTAGCCATACCTCCGCTACCCTTCCCATTGGCTAATCAGGGCAATATGCAAATTAACTGACAACCAAGATGGTGGCCGGCAGCCAGGCAGCTTGAAGCAAACAGGAGGCTGTGCGTGACAGGGGGTGGTGCCACAACCTCCCTATTGACCCTGCCTTGAGTGTGACAGGGGGCGGTGCCCCAACCCCCCAATCGGCCCTACCCTGAGTGTGACTGGGGGTGGCATCGAAACCTCCCGATCTGCCCTGCTCTGTGCATGATGGGGCGGCGCTCCAACTCCCCAATCGGCCCTGCTCTGAGCCCGACCAGGGGCTGCACCTAGGGATTGGGCCTGCCCTCTGCCACCCGGGAGCAGGCCTAAGCCAGCAGGTCATTATCTCCCAAGGGGTCCCAGACTGCGAGAGGGAACAGGCTGGGCTGAGGGACCCCCTCTCCCCCCGAGTGCACAAATTTTTGTGAACCGGGCCTCTAGTCTTATTATAAAACTAGAGTCCTGGTGCACAAATTTGTGCACAGGTGGGGTTTGGCCACCCACCCCAATGGGGGCCGATTGGGGCTGGGCCAGTGGGGTGGCGGGGATGCTGGAGGTTGGCCACCAGCCCTGCCCCCGATCGGGGTGGGGTGGCCAATTGGGGGCTGGGCTGGCCAGGGGGAGGGGCAACAGTAGGGTGGGAGTGTTGATTGGGGCCCTGATCGGGCCTTTTGGCCACTGCAGTGTGCATGATAGCAACTGGTTGTTCTGGTTGTTCTGTCGTTCCAGTAACTTGGATTTTATATATATAGATTTCCCTAAATGACACTGAATGAGGAATTCTACCCTACTTACTCTTTGGGGAAATGATAGCCTTCTTAACAAAAAAATGACAAGGATAGCTCAAGAGAAAACTATAGCCCAATCTTATTTATGAACTATGTAATGTTGAAGTATATAAACAAAATAAGCAAACAAAATAAGCAAATTCAATTCACAATGCTTATAGATAACTCAGTGTATATTTTTCAAAAATGAAAAATTGGCTTAAGATTTTAAAAATTATGTAGATGCAAAGAATTCTGATAAAAATCATAAGAGGTTTTATTTTTGGAACTAGAAAAGCTGGTCCTAATATTTTTATGAAAGGCTAGAAGCCCAAAGAAAGCCAAAGACCTCTAAAGAACAAATTAGATGAAAAGATCATCAAATGGTAGGCTACATTAAGTATAAAGCTGTAGTACATATGTGAATGTGGTATAATTACTGGACAGCTGAGAACTAGACTCATTCATAGATGCAAACTTGATTTATGTCAGCATTATAGAATCATGGGGAGAATGGGCTTTTCAGTGAAAAGTGCTGTGATAACTGATTATCCAGAGCAGAAAAAAAGAAACGGAATTGACTTTTATTCAACTATATTAAAATATTAGTTCTACCTATAAAACAAATTTTTAAATCACTTATGTCAGTGATAATGTAATGTCATTACATAAGGACATTATGACAAATGGAGAAGACAAAATTTTCAGGGGAAAGAAAATGTTATGTGAGATAGTTGATTTCTGAGGGAGTCGGTTTCAAGGTAAAGATCATTATATTAGGGAAACTAGAAGTTAGGACAATGCCTCATATTAGTGAGACATTTAGGTAGGGAAATCAAAAGGAGAAAATAGAGCCATAGCAATTCAGACCCATGAAAACAATAAAAATCAGGGGGAAATGTTAAGCATGGTGGTGGCCTCAAGTATTTGAACGATGAACAATTTGGGCTCAGATAGTGATACTGCTCTCTATGAGGCTGGGCTTCAGGTATTCATAGGGAAGGTCTAGCTGCTCATTCCGGGCCACAATTTCCTTTTCCAGGTTGTCCAGATCAGCCTGAAACTGCCTTAAAACAGCCTTGGGCTCAGGACCTGAGAAATACTCTTCTTGGTGATGCCCCAGTGGTACCTGGAGCAGAAAGGAAGGATCAATTATCTTCTTGTACCAAGAAAAGGGACCCAAACTCCAGTCCCTCACCCTAAAGTCTCCTTGTCAGCCAGCAGTCCCCTCAGAGCTCCAGAGGTCCCCTCTCACCATGTCTGCTGGTGGCCGGCTTAGGAGCCATGGAAGAAACATCTGAATACTGGTCTGCCAGGTACTAGGTAGTGAGCCAATCACTGTGTCCATTGTGACATCTTCCTTGGTGGTGGGTGGAGGCATCCGCATTGAGCACGGGGCATTAGGGACCCAGGCAAACCAGTCAAACTGGGAGAGGGAGAATCTGGAGTCACTCAGAAACTCTGATTCAGGACCCTATTTTCAAGCTCTCTCCTTCAAGTATCCCCTAGACCAGAGCTTTCTCTTAGAGACCCAGATTTTCAGTTGTGCGTACCTGGCCCGTGTTGACTGCTGCATGCTGGGCAGTGCATGTGAAGATACACATGGTAAGGAAATGACAGAGCTGAACCCGAGACTGGAAAGAGACAGGGAAACCTAGAGAAAAGAACAAAGCTTAGAAACTGCAGTTCCAAAGGTGATAAGAAATAAATGCTGATATCTTGGCATGTCTATATATTAGACTAGTTAGTGTTCATTCATTCATTCATTCAAAAAGTCATGAACTACTCTGTACCAGACACTATACAGGCACTGGGAATATGTTGGTGGGCAAAACAGACTGTGGTAGTGAAGAATGATAATAAACAGAATAACTAAGAAAAATTTACACACAGTTTGTTAGATAGTGACAAGTATATAAGTAAGGCAGGAAAGGGAGATAGGAGATGTAAAGGGGGGATAGTTAATAATTTAGTCAAGAGATCAGTCCTCGCTTTGCTGCTGACTAACTGCATTACCTTGGACTGACTGCTTAGCTTCTCTGAGCTGCTATTTAGTTTATTCTGAGAATAGAGATAATAATTGTTACCTTATAAAGGGATGGTCCATGGAGATGGTCCATATAAACCCCCTCAGTCCATTGTAGGTATGTTTATAAGGTGGGGAGTGGGCAGGGCTGAGAGGCTGGTTGGTCTAATATCCAGTGTTCAAAAAGTGATTAAAAGCAACAGGAGAGAGGTAGACAACCCAAAATAAAATGGTACAAAAGAGGAACAGGCTCCACATAAAGAAGGATATCCCTGTGACTACTAAACCCAGGACAAGTTCCTCGGTTCTACCAGCCAGTGGGGGAATAAAACTTAAACTCAAATGTGAAAACACAACATATTCACAATGTGACCAAAGTATTTTTTCAAAATATTTTGGAAGGTATTGACTTTAAGTCATATTCTTTGGAGGGAGAGTAAATATATATAGCACTTGGGAAAACTGTCAGAAACCACTAAAACTGAACATACACATATCCTATGACCATCAATTTCACTTCTAGATACATACCCAACAGAATTGTACACACGACATTGTTCACAGCAGCAATGACATTAATAGCCTCAAAATGGAAACAACCCAAATACCCATCAATGGGAGAAAGGAAAAATAAAGTCTATCATAATCACAAAATAGAAAAATATGATTAGAGATCCAAAGGGCGGTTGACAGGACGGCAGTGAGGGAGAGAGTGTGAGTGAGTGAGGGAGCGAAAGGGGAGTGCATGGGCATGTGGGGCATGTGTGTGTGTGTGTGTGTGTGTGTGTGTGAGTTATATTCCACAGGACTTTTGGGGGTTGGCGGACCAGGCTCCCCTAGCTGGGCAGCCTCTCCCACCGCTGCAATCTCCCCCAGGGCAGCCGGCTCTGCCTCAGAGGCCTCGCCATCTTGAAAGGGAGAGCTGCTCTGATGGGGAGCCCAGCCTCACCTCCACCTGGGAGCCTACAGCCACACCAGCCAGGGACCTGCTGCCTTGGCTGTGAACCCATGAACACCGAGACTCTAGCCTCCCCGGCCACGGGCTCCTAAAAAGTTTGTCCGGGGGAGAAAAAAATGGCGGCTGAATAGAGGGACATGTCTTGTGACTTCTCACAGAGCAGATAGAACAGTGGTTCTCAACCTTGGCTGCACATTAGAATCACCTGGGAATCTTTTTAAAATCCTGATTTCGGGGCCTCATCCTCCGGAAATTCTGTTTCTTTGTTACTAATGCTGTAGCCCCAGCCCATAACAAAGAAACAGAATTTCTGGAGGATGAGGCCCAGAAATTAGGATTTTAAAAAGATTCCTAGGTGATTCTAATGTGCAGCCAAAGTTGAGAACCACTGAGATAGAAGAAACAACTAAATCGAATAGCATCCACCTAGAATTGGCGAATTAAACACAGCTGGTGAGACAACCCGCGGCCTGAAATGACAGAGACACCTGAAGAGCGGTAGGATCAGCTATCTGGGCTGGAGAGAAAAATGCACAAACACAGGGACTAGAACAGTGGTTCTCAGCCTTCCTAATGCTGCAACCCTTTAATACAGCTCCTCATGTTGTGGTGACCCCCAACTTCATTGTTACAAATTGAACATAATTAAAGCATAGTGATTAATCACAAAACAATATGTAATTACGCATGTGTTTTCCAATGGTCTTAGGCCACCCCTGTGAAAGGGTCGTTCGACCCCCAAAGGGGTCGCGACCCACAGGTTGAGAACCGCTGGACTAGAAGGTCAGAAGGAAACTGTGCTGCGCCAACTCCATGTTCCTTGGGACACACATAACACTTGACTGTGGAAGGGGGTCCACAGAGCTCTGGCAGCAGGGGACTCTAGATCTAACTCCACAGCCGTGGAAGGCTGCACCCAGAAAGGCAGCCTGAAGTTCTGCACTAGCTGCGCAGTGCGGGGGAGAGAATTGTGCAGCGGCACAGTTTCTCTGTCTTTATATTTTCTTTGCTTTTACTCGATAAAGTCAGTACATAGGATCTTTCGATAACAAATATCCACCGAGGCTGCGGTGCAGGTGGACGTGGTTTGGTGGAGGCTGGGGAGCAAAGCAGGGAGAGGCGACCAGGAATCCAGCTCTGGGACAGCCTGGTCCCTCCAACCCTAAACAGCTACTTTTCTCCAGAAGAGCTAGCACCTCCTAGCGGCCCTGGAAACTAATACAGCAATACCACCGCCTAGAGCCCGTATCAGAAACAGATGCTTGTGTAAATAGGACTGAAAGTAGGGAGACAGACAAAGCGGGCAGATTGGTTCCGCATGCCTAAATCCAAGCCTCTGGAGACAGACACAGAGGAGCAGTAGGTCAGTGGGAACTTCAACATGGTCCTGACTACCTAACAGGAAAATGAGAAGTGCCAGACAGAACAGTAGAGAGGGGTCTTAATCCAGCCCCCAGGGGACATTAAAACTCAGCTGAAGCAAATGACACTTCACTACTTCACTTTTTTATTTTTTATCTTTTACTTAAGAAAGAAATGCTAAAGGAACTGCTGTAAAAAGAAGAAATAGGAAGGGAAGAAGGGACACAGGTATAAAAAATAAAAATTGTGACAAACAAGCACCTATCAATAATAACCTTAAATGTAAATGGATTAAATGCTCCAATCAAAAGACATGGGGTAGCTGAATGGATTAGAAAACATGACCCATATATCTACTGTCTACAAGAGACCCACATCAGAACCAAGGACTCACAAAGACTGACAGTGAAGGGATGGAAAATATTTCTCAGGCGAATGGAAATGAAAAAACAAAGCAAAAACCAAAACTGGGGTAGCAATACTTATATATGACAAAATAGACCTCAAAGTGAAGGCCATAACAAGAGATAAGGAATGCCACTTCATAATACTAAAGGGAGCAATTCAGCAAGAGGTATAACTCTGGTAAACATGTATGCTCCCAATACAGGAACACCCCAATACATAAAAAACTCCTGGAACATATCAAGAGAGAGATTGACAGCAATACAGTCATAGTAGGGAACTTTAATACCGCATTGACACCACTGGATAAATTCTCTAAACAAAAAATCAGCAAAGAAACATCAATCCTAAATGACTCACTAGATCAGAAGGAATTAATTGACATCTTCAGAACATTTCACCCCAAAGCTACAGAATATACATTCTTCTCAAGTGCACAGAGGACATTTTCAAAGATAGAACACATATTGGGACACAGGCAAAGTCTCTTCAAATTCAAGAAGATAGAAATCATATCAAGCATCTTCTCAGATCACAATGGCATAAAATTAGAAATCAACTACAATAAAAACAATGAAAAAAATCAAACACTTGGAGGCTAAATAGCATGGTATTAAACAATGATTGGGTAACCAAAGAGATCAAAAAAGAAATGAAAAGCATTCTGATAACAAACAACAATGAAAACACAACAATCCAAAATCTATGGGACACAGCGAAAGCAGTCCTGAAAGGGAAGTTCCTAGCTTTACAGGCCTACCTCAAAAAAACAAGAAAAAATGGTAATAAATATCTAACCTTGCAACTTAAAGAATTAGAAAGAGAGCAATAAGAAAATCCCAGAGTAAGGAGAAGGAAGAAAATAATAAAGATCAGAGCAGAAATAAACGACATAGAGACAAAAAAATACAACAAACAAACAAACAAAAACAACAATACAAAAGATCAATGCAACCAAGAGCTGGTTCTTTGAAAGGATAAACAAGATTGATGAACCTCTAGCCAGGCTCACCAAGAAACAAAGAGAGAGGACCCAAATAAACAAAATCAGAAATGAAAGAGGTGAAGTAACAACAGACCCCACAGAAATACAAAGAATTGTAAAAATTTATTACGAACTACTCTACTGCAACAAACTGGACAGCCTAGACAAAATGGACATATTCTTAGAAAAATACAAGCTTCCAAAACTCAATCAGGAAGAATAAAAAAACCTGAGTAGGCTGATAACTACCAATGAAATTGAAGCAGTAATCAAAAATCTTCCAGCAAACAAAAGCCCTGGTCTGGACAGCTTTACAGGGGAGTTTTACCAAACATTCAAAGAACTAAAACCTATCCTTCTCGAACTATTCCAAAAAATTCAAGAGGAAGGCACACTTCCAAGCTCTTTCTATAAAGCCAGCATTACCCTAATTCCAAAACCAGATAAAGACACCACAAAGAAAAAGAACTACAGGCCAATATTCCTGATGAACATAGATGCTAAAATCCTCAACAAAATTCTAGCAAATCGGATCCTGCATTACATTAGAAAGATCACACACCATGACCAAGTGGGATTTATTCTGGGAATGCCAGGATGGTGCAATATCCACAAATCAATAAATGTGATACATCACATAAACAAATCAAGAGATCAAAATCACATAATCATATCAATCAATGCAGAAAAAGCATTTGACAAAATCCAACACCCTTTCTTGATAAAAACTCTCAGCAAAGTGGGAATAGAGGGATCATACCTCAACATAATAAAAGCCTATATGACAAACCTACAGCCAACATCATACTCAATGGGAAAAAACTAAAACCATTTTCCCTAAGAACAGGAACAAGACAGGGACACCCACTTTCACCACTCCTGTTCAGCATAGTACTGGAAGTGCTAGCCATAGCAATTAGACAAGAAGAAGAAATAAAAGACATCCAAATTAGAAAAGAAGAAGTAAAACTTTTGTTATTTGCAGATGACATGATACTGTACATAGAAAACCCCAAAGACTCCATCAAAAAACTACTAGACGTAATAAATGAATTCGGTAATGTAGGAGGATACAAAATTAACACCCAGAAACCTATGGCTTTTTTATACACCAATAATGAACTCACAGAAAGAGAAACTAAAAAAAACACCCATTTACTATTGCACCAAAAAAATTTAAGATACCTAGGAATAAACTTAACTAAGGACGTAAACAACCTGTACTCAGAAAACTACAGGACATTGAAAAAAGAGAGAGGAAGGCATAAACAAATGGCAGAACATACCGTGTTCATGGATTGGTAGAATCAACATCATTAAAATGGCCATACTACCCCAAAGCAATTTATAGATTCAATGCAATCCCCATTAAAATACCAACAGCATATTTCACAGACCTAGAACAAACTCTCCAAAAATTCATCTGGAATAATGCACCAGTGGGGTCCCTTGGCCTGGTCTGCACCCTCTTGCAATCTGGGACCCCTCAGGGGATGCCGGAGAGCCAGTTTGGGCCCAACATTGGAACAATGGGTTGCTGTGATGTGCACTGACCACCAGGGAACAGATGCTCAATGCAGGAGCTGCCCCCTGGTGGTCAGTGTGAGCGCAGCTCAGCCAGAAGCTGGGCTCATGGCTGGTGAGTGCAGAGGTAGTGGCAGGAGCCTCTTTTGCTTCCGGGGCAGCTGGACATCCCTCAAGGGCTCTTGGACTGCGAGGGGGCACAGGCCGGGCTGAGGGACCCACCCCCCGCAAGTGCACAAATTTCATGCACCAGGCCCCTACTGCTGCAATAAAAAAGAAGGAACATTTACCATTTGCAACAGCGTGGATGGACCTGGAGAGCATTATGCTAAGTGAAATAAGCCAGTTGGGAAAAGATAACTATCACATGATCTCACTTATATGTGGGATATAATGAACAACATAAACTGATGAACAAAAATAGATCCAGAGACTAAGAAACACTGAGCTTGAGAGACAGAACTGAGACTTACTACAGAAATTTTGGTCGTGAAGGGCTGACGAAGTGCCATTGCACGAATGGGGAAGGTACAGCCCCAGATACTTTGAGGTAAGACTCCACTCAGTGGTAGGTGTGTGGTTTACTGATGTGTGCATTACCAGTTCTTAGCTATTCGCTACAGTTATTGCATGGAAGGAATGGAAGGGATTCAAGGTATTGGTGTGAAGTGTGAAACGGGAAGGAGCTAAAGGATGATTCAAAACAACCCCGGCTGGCCTACGTGTACTAGAGAGAGGACTATGAATCTGGGAAGTGCTCAAGAAAGGTTATTTCTTTGTTATAGATTTAAAAAACGGGGTAGGGGACCTGAAGGTAGTTCACCAGTGAGGAGGGCACTTTTATCTAAGAAACTTGAGTTCCAAAGATCATGACACTGACTTTGGGTTTAAGTCAAAATATATACATTATTGAGACTCCATCTAGAAATGACCTTGCACCGTGGCAGGTGTGCGTGATGTTTGGATCCTCTCTGTGTGCTGGACAGTAGAAGGAAGGAGGAAAAGGGGGGCGTGGAGCTAGGATGGGCTGTCTGTCATGTGCTTTTGTGGGGATGATCTCCCTATTTCTATCCTTAAGTAAGGAAATAGACAGTTATTAGGAGAGAGCCTGGCAAGGCCTGGGCAGATTCCTTACTGGCTATAGTTCTGGCCTTATTAGTCCCCTTGGCAGGTGAGGGGCATCTATGAAAAAGCATGAGGGTCTCTGCGGAGGACAATCCTTAGGATTCTAGAATTGTCCTGAGTCTTAGGAGATGGGAATCAGATTCAGATGTTTCATGTGTGGAGAGATGGGCATGATGAGGGGTTATAATTGTCCCCAGATGGGCAAGACTGAGAAGGGGTTCTCGGGAGAGTGTCCAAGGATTTCTCTTCTCTGGGGAGGGTCTCACCTCGGTCCTGGGCCTGGCACAGCCCCACCTCAGTGATCTCCCGACACCAGGCCTGCAGCTCAGGATCCCCTCTCACGACGTCATCCCCGTGGTAGAAGAGGTGGATGATCCCCTCCACGTACCTGCCCAGAGGAGAAGGGAGCTGAGCTCCTTGAGAGTACAAGGCTGTAGCCTCAGACTTCTACTCCTTTTCTGTGGCATCTATCCATCTGACTCTCACGGTGTCTGGGGACAGATCTTGCAAGACTTGCCTTTGAGACATTCCCTAGTTCTTTCTACACACTGGTTTAGAAAGGAAGAAAATGTGGATCATTCATTTAAGAATTCTGAATACATGGCTGATAGTCACTCTTTGTAACAAAATCCCTGATTCTACCAAATTCCTTAGTTTTACCCACCCACACAATTCTGCGTACTTACACTGGGTATTTCAGTCTCCCCATTTTCAGACCCCACCCATTGTCTTCTTATTCTTTCTCATCATTCTCGGGATTGAGTCCCATGCAATTCCTGTCTGAACCTCCTGTCTGGACCTTCTTATTTCATGTTCCTTTTGTCCCATGCTGACCTCAGGCCAAGCCCCATTTTCACTATTCCTAATGCCCCCTTTTTACTCAGCTCCCACTCTCACCCACCGAGCAATGATCTCCCAGAGCCGTAAAGCATCATGGGCATAGAGGGCACTTGGGATTCCCAGCAGGCCCCGGTCAGCCAGATCATCCGGAGGACAGAGGGAGCGGTAGGTCAGCTGAGTCATGGCCCGGCGGATCAATTGCACATGCCCCCCTCCACCTGTGCTTCCTGCCTGTGCCAATAGACATGAGAGGTCTTGAGGGGAGAAACAGAGCTGGAGAACATAGCATAGTATATAAAGTGGTCAGATGTGGGCTTTTGAGATTCAATGACATTGGCATAAAGGGACAAGAATCCTGGGTTTAAGGGTCAGGACATTCATACAAAGGGGACTGGAAGCTTGAAAGTGACAGGAGGTCATGCAGATTTGGATGATTAGGTGTCCACTCCATTGCCTCCTTACCTTATCAAATAAACCTCCATCTGAGATGAGTTGAGTTCGTGCCCGGGTGTTGATTTCCATTGTGTACCGTGTGTGTGGGATCAGGAGCTGGATGGAGAAGGTTGGAGGGGGTGGTTTATGTACGACATGCTTGGATCCTTCTTTATTAGGGAGTGGCAGTCAGCATGGAGACTTTCTGTCCTCTTGATGCTTAACTACCTGCTAGTGCCTTTGCAGGCTGGTCTCATTCTTCTCTGATCTCTTAGTCTCATGTTTTCCTATTGCCCTGTGAGTTGAGCTTTGGAGTCTAACTGACTGGGATTTTAATTTACACTTCACCACTAACTTTCATACTTGGACAAGATAATAAACCCTCTAAGCGCCCATCTCTTTACAGGGGATGACAATATGGTCTCATTACGGGTGCTGTGGTGATGCTTATGTATATAATGTATGAGAGTGTTCAGCACATTGCCAGCACATAGATGTCCTTGAATAGTAGCTGTTAACATTACCTTTATTATTCCCACCTTGAGTATAGATGTTCTTTGAGAATCAGTCCTTTAACTTTTGATTTTTTTAAATAATTTTTTTCTATCATACACATCCTTACAGTTTAAACTTGCCTTTTTATGAATTTTCAAAGCTGCTCCTCCAACCTCTAGTGATTTTACTCGCATTTTTAAAATTTCGGGATTAGGAATTGCGTGGGTAGGGTACTTTCAGTCAGAATTAAAGGAACCATATTGATCTACCTTCTTTATCAGCCAAGGGGCTGTTGTCAAACCTCCTCCTACCACCAATTAGGCCCTGTTAATTTCTCCTGCTTTCCCTTGGCCATTATAAAAAAGCCATCTGATCCTCATGTGCATCATCCTCATGATCCGCCGGGCCCTGACTCCACAATTTTGTTTTCATCCAGGAGCCGATTCATACATTATTATTATCTATGTGAGTTAGTGATGCTACAGAGAAGAAAGGATCCAACTGATATCATTGGTATCAACATATCAAGGCAACTCACATTGGTCTGAAACTTCAGAAAGATAAGATGCTGAGTTTCACAGAAAGCCCAAGGTCTACATCAAGAGTAGACCAGAAAACAAATAACTAATCCCAATAGCAAGAACTACTATTTTTTGTAGCATTTAGCCTGTGTCATGCTGCTGTTCTGTTATTCCTCATTAACTCCATAATGGAGCTCCTATTACCCCCATTTAGAGATTAGAACACTGAGAACACATCTGGTAAGAACTGAGGCCAGGATTCAGGATTCAGATCCCAGCAGCCTGCATGCAGAGCTGGCACAGGTAAATAGATGAAATGGGCAGGCTTAGCCCTCCTGGGTGGCCTGCCATGGGAAGAAGTTATTATGGTGAGAGGAGACACGTGTAGAGGGGGCTGTGAAAAGGGGATTTAGAAGAGTAAAAGTGGGTTCAACCACTAAGATACACAGAAGATGGTGCTGCAAAGGCAATATAAAGTCAATCAAATCCAAGATAAAGGAATTCTGTTAGTGTTTACCATGTCTGTGTTACTCTAGAACCCTAAGGGGTCATCACTTCCCATGGACAAGTTTGGGGATAAAGGTGGGGTCTCCTGGAGGAAGCACAATTCAGATATTCTACCTAGTATGTACTCACATATCTTGCTACCACTTCAAACTCCATGTACCTAAAACTGAACATCTCATCTTTCACCTCAAACTGGATTTAAAAAATATATATATTTTATTGATTTTTTTACAGAGAGGAAGGAAGAGAGATAGAGAGTTAGAAACATGGATGAGAGAGAAACATCGATCAGCTGCCTCCTGCACGCCCCCTACTGGGGATGTGCCCACAACCAAGGTACATGCCCTTGACCAGAATCGAACCTGGGACCCTTCAGTCCCCAGGCCGACGCTCTATCCACTGAGCCAAACCGGTTAGGGCTCAAACTGGATTTTCTTGATTGTATTGTTTCTGACAATTCATAAGCCTGTATCATTTTTCCTCCTGTTACTACATGTGAAGTGTCATCAAGATTTTAAAAACAGTTTTAAGCAAGCACAAGGCTATATTTGCTGTCTTCTGGCTAGCAATAGATCCTAGGCTCACTCTTTTATACAATCACAATATTTCTAGATCAGTACAACTCTATCTACCAGGTGGGCTCCTAGTTATTGCAGCAGCTCAGTCCTCTAAGCTTTCTCTCCAATCTTGCACCCAGGCATGCTGCAACTACTATTTCCTCTTATCACAAAGTCTTTGCATTTTCCTTTCTATTGATCTAACTACCATGTCATGCACCTCTCATTGGGCAGGATAAATAATGTATTGGGCTGCTCTTTTATTCATTTGGTCTTCTGCTTAATTATTCCCAAGTTGTAGTGGAACATTCTCCATAAAAATATAGTGTTTATTGCTTTCTCTCTTTATTTCAAAGTCTATTCCTAGATACTGTGTTTTAAAAAAAAATAAAATTATATTCCTACTCTTCAATGGACTATGCTGGAGAATGTCAGAGCTGCCTTACAATAAATGCTGAATATATACTAAGTTACTTGACTTAGTACAATATATGGGCATGGCATCTTCTCTGTATTATTTTAAAAACTGCAT